ACCTCCTCTAGGGGGGTCCGGGAGGCATGCTCCCCCGGGAAGATTTTTTTTTAAATATTGAAGTTAAAAGCATCAATCTGGTGCACTTTGAGAGCAACATGAGGAGATCTATGGATACATCTCAACACCCATTTGAAACAGAACTGTAAGCAGATTTTTCTTTTTGGATATTTTACAAATCACTCCCCTTTTAAAACTCTTATTTTTAACAACTTTTTTGTTACTGTTATATAGTATTTTATACCTGTTTTTCATTTAGTCTCTAATGTCTCATTAATAACTATAATGATCATATCAAGGTGTGCCTTAACCTCACTGAGCTGAGGTTATTTGAGCCTCTCAGGAGAGAGCTCTCTTCCACCTGGTTGTAGAAAAGCTCTTTAAATTCGTTAGCATAGCTAGCTAACCAGATGCTAATAACAACAGATCGCCACTGTGCTTACAACTAAAGACACAGCCACGCAAACACTGTGGCATGTGTACGGCTCCTTACGGGTACTGTAATATTTGAAGAGCTGGAGCGGCGGTCCGGTGCTCTTCTGTCAGAGTGTGTCTCTCTTTGCGTCACTTTTCAGCAGCAGCAGTGGAACAGAAAAAGTACTGTACACAATCTTCATGTTACAAGCCCTGATATTTGCATGATCTTAAATAACATTTAAGGATGAAGGACATTATTTAGTGTCTAAATCATGGTTATATTCACTGTAAAAAGTAGCCATGGTTGTAGGTCGGCTTTGAAGCATCTAATTTTCCTCGCACTAAGTTGAACGCTCGTCGATTTTGACCCGTCTGTTTAGCTGGAACTCCCCAAATCCCAATTAAATTTGACAGCATGCTTGAGTGTTCGTCCTCCATGTTTTACAGTCTAACAGACGCAGCGCTGTGACAGCAATGAGCTGTCCCACTGAGACTTTGACATAATATCATGAATACTGACCTGACAGTTCGGGCTACACTCATTTGAAACAAATGTGGTCTAAAATACATTTTCAACGCGGGTTTTTCCGTCTTCTCTCACCACACTACATGCATCAGATCTGTGTTACAAAATAAAAAGTGAGTTGAGACACTCTTAGCTACAGCCTTGGGGACAAAGGGTCCGGCGGGAAGACAGGAAGAGCAGCTGAGGGTTAAACATCTGGAGGATGCTTGAAAATCTTAGGTCACAGGATTCTGCACTGTTGGAGAAGCCTGTGACCTAAGATTTTCATCGACATAACTACCTTGTAGCTATGGCTGTATGACTAATAAAGAACCTTGAACCTTGGACAAAGCAGACGATGGTGATAGGAATCGACTGGGAGTAGGCGGCCATTGACCTCCGTGACAATGCAAGGAAGGTGTGTGTGAGTGTGAGTGTGAGTGTGAGTGTGTGCGTGCGTGCGTGCGTGCGTGCGTCTCTCGGGTAAGGAAGAGCAAAAGGAGATGGATGAATTGTGACAGGAGGCCCAGTCAGCACCGCCGGCAGAGAGAGGAGCATTATGTCAAGAGCAAAGAGAGAAAGTCAGCGGACAAGAGTGGTAACTACACATTTCCAACTAGTACAAATCAATCAACTACTTAATTGATCATTTGTTTAGTAAATGCAATGTAGCCAGCCCAATGTATTTATTTAGTAAATAAATATTTATTTGGTTATTAAAGATTAGGCTTTTTAGCGGG